CTGGCTGTTCCACAGAAGATGACAATTAAGCCGCCAATCCTGAACGGCCACGCAGCCCACCGTTTTCGCTTCTATCCTAAACCCCAAGCTCAAGCACATAGGCCCGACTTCACTCACCCCCGACGGCGAGGGTTCCTGGACAACGAGCGTTTGTTGAACACGAGCAGAACCAACATGTCAAGTTAAGATGCCGACCTAACCAGCATGCACTCGACAAGGCTTCAAAGGTTGACGGAGAAAGAAGACTTAGATGATGCTGCTATGGTTGATGAGATGATCATGGTGATGAGGATGATGAGGATGATGATGGAAAGTTTCAGAAAGGCGCTCCAAGGATTGAAGGCGCTGGGAAATCCGGAATGGGACGCGAAGCCCTAGAATGATGGATCATACTTCGAAAAAGTTTACGGAAACATATAAGAATGATCCTATCAGCAAAGACTGAAAGACCAGATAAGCACAGTTACGAACGTACAACCACAATCATTACAACTGTTAATAGGTAGTACATAGCCAGAACACGAGCAAAAGCTGTCAACATCGTTGAAAGGCGGATCAGCGTCTGGACGCCGAAGTAAGAAGCCAGGCTTTGTAATAAGCTGCTTGATTCAGGGCTTCGTCTTGGCGACTAGGCTTTTGGTGTTACAGACTTTTTGGCTTGCAGCGCATAGGAGGCGTTCTGTCCGGTTCAGGGTGCTGCCAGCAGCCAGCACTCGTCGTTGGTAGCCGTATAACTTCACATCGACCGCACCCTTGCGCTCACCGTTGGCTGCTTTGAGACTGTTGGTGTCTGAAGCTCTGAAGGACCCAAAAATCCAAGTCCACCATGCTCAGCATTCTGGCCGACGTTTCGTCTCGACGCTGAGGATATTGGTACAAAGAGCAGGGCAGCAAGCTGCAGGATCGGGAAGCAGTGGCGGGGTCTCTTATTCTTCTCCAGCAATTGATGGCTCCTCGTTACAACATGGCGCTGCAGTACAGCAGCAGCACCACCCTCCTTGCAATCACCAAAGTCCAAGTCCAGCTTACTGTCAGGCCCAACTCTTCGAAGCTCCAAGTCCCGGCTGCGCGTGATCTTGCTCGGAGTTCGGATGTTTGGATTGGCTTCAGTTGGGCGAAAGGATTAGGAAGCAGGTCTATGCAAGTTGCCCGTCAACCCTTAGGCCTGATGCCCTAAGCACTTTGGAGACCAGGAGAAATACACCTTCGACGAACGCGGGAACTTCTGCCCGAGCTTCAAGTTGCTACCTGGCGAGACATGCAGTAAGAGTTGGGAGCGGGCTCCAAGGATTTACTGTTTTAGGGTGTCACAGTGTATAGGGTGTGTAGGTGTGCTCCTTCGCGGCGAAGCGTTCGTGCTTCGAGCTTCGGGCGGCAAGATCAAGATAGCGGTAGCAGTATTGGTCCCGGGCGGGTGTGCAAAGGGGGGCTGAGGCTGTGTGCTTTTGGAATTCCTGGTTCAGGCTATCGCCGCCCTAATTCTAAGAAAGCCTACGGAGCTAAAGGGAAGCGGAATTTCAGTTGATTTCTACAGCACGTTAGGCCAGGACTCTGGCAGTCTACCAGGATTCAGGGCTTTGGGCTTTCGGCTTAAGGTTCAGGGTTGGGTTCTCTAAGTTACGGGACCCGCAGGCGCAGCCCTTTAATCAGCTTTTCCGACTTCCTTGCAAGAGGATCTGGAACTCACCTCGAGCCCTGTTTTCTTGCAGGATTCCAACAGCCAGCACTCAATCTTTGAAACGGTTGCTTGTGAACTGTGATGGATTTTTTGGGATTCTAGGGCTGCTGCAATACCGCAAGTCGAACAAATTGATCTGCACCTTGATTCCTAAACCGCGAGACTTGCCAGTGTACTGCTCGACCCGACAGGGAACGGCCGATCCTGAAGCAAGAGTGGGACAGGGAGGTGCAGGCCGCTGCAGAGTCTCATCACCGCAGGATGCGTGTGCCAGCGGCTGCTAGCGCATCTCAATTTACTTGTAGGTGAAAGATTCGTCACAGCAGCAGTAGTAGAAGTTGTCGTCATAACCCTTGTCGCCGTCGTCGTCGTCGTCATCGTTGCTGTCGCAATGTGCCACTATATTTTCCATTCTGCTTGTGCCGTTCACATACCGCATTGTTTGGCCGGCGTTGGACTTCGGAGTTAAGATTCAATCTAAGGCTCGCAGGTTGCGTAAGGTTCTGAATCAGCGCGCCAGAGTGACTGCGCGAAAATGTTGTAACTCTGCGGCTGGTGACAGTGACTGTCAAGTGCCCGTTGTGACACAGCGACAGGAGAAGGGTGGCTATGCCTCGTAGTGCCTTTACGAGGTCGGCCTGCGCAAAGTAGCAGAGGTTGTTCTTGTCCTTCATTTGTCTGGTGGCTGGCTACGATGGTGATAATTAACATGCCAATGCGGATGAAAAGGAGGGTAGCTCCGTTTGACCGCCCCCTTCAGAACCAGGACGGTGATGATGATGTTGATGCCGATGATAACGATGATGACGATGGTATTGATGGTGACGATTACGACGGTCATGGAGATGATGATGGTGATGATGATGATAACGATGATGACGATTCGGATGATTGATGTGGTGATCATGGTGACGATGAAGATGGTGTTAGCGCAGAAGATTGCCATGATGATTTCGGCTTTTTCATGATCACGGCAATTATGAAGAAGAAGATGATGATGCTGGCAACCGTGACGATCATGATGAAAATTGGTATGCACATGGGTGAAGGTGAGATGGTGGTGATGTTGATAATGATGATGATGGTAATATAGGTTGATGTTGTTAATGCTTTTGAACACCAGCATGTTAAACCTTCCACAAGCCTGTTTCGTCGCGTCTACAATGCACGGCTTCGTCCGCTTCGTACTGGACTTTCAGAAATCCCTGGCTTTGTAAACTTCTTTGCCAAGTCCGCCTGCTGTGAAGCACCGAGGTGTTCGCCTATTTATTGAAAGTCCGGAAACACTACCTGTTATTATTGGATCCTGCAAACCGCACCGTGCATGGCTATCCTTTTGCAGGAACGACCAAGGGTGCTGCAGCATTACGCAGGTCCCGGCTGGCAGGCATGGGCTCTCTTGCACGGACTTATGAGCCCAAAATGATTTGTATACAAAGCGTCTGAGAGTCCGGAAGCTTAAAATGGTGAGGATATCATCGATTTCCCTGGCATTATGCAACCTAGGCCTGCATCATGCAGCATGCAGAGTTGAGGATTTCTGCGTCAACTGGTACCATCTGGTACCTTTCTTTTTCTTCTTGGCATGCTCAAGAGGGGCCATGGTAAGGTCCCTGGGCCAGGTTTGGCTGGGGGGTTGCAGGTTTCTGGCAGCGCTTGGCCACACGCAGTGCCTTGCACTTGTGGGAGGCGGTGTTTGGGCTTTTCGGGTTTGCACTTTCCGTTTGTCCGTCCACAGTGCGAGCTAAACTATGTTTTCAAAGCCCACACTTGCGAGTTAAACTATGTTTTCAAAGCCCACACTTGCGCAGGTTCACGTGACCATTGTTGTCTTTTTGTCTGCCGAAACGATGGCCGAGTTGGCAGGAGCACTGGAGGAATGGACTATTTCCACGCTTTCGATTTGTAGACCTTGAAGAGGTGTGCTGACGTAGTGTTCAAACCAGTAAACCCTAAACGGTCACTCAACCTCACCGGGCTAAACTTGGAAACCGCATGCCCCAATCTCTGAATGCTTCAATCAGGATCAACGTCAGCTAGAGGGCTACTGCCCGGCTTTTACCCGAAGCCCAAATCTTCGCAGGTGCAGGCCGAGGTGGAAGTCCGAGTGACAGGAAAGTGTTCTCCGTGATACCGAGAAGTTCTGGAGTGCATGCTGTAGCCAACACAAAAGCGGCTCCAACAGTTCGGAACTCATCTAAGCATGTTGTGATATCCAGCAAAGTACTGCGATGCACTGTTTCAGAGCCGCGGGGTGTGTCCCCAGGCTCAGACCTCTAGATTTTAGCGGCTTTCTCGCTGGAAACTCACTCGGGCTGTATTGCAAAAGGTGTTACGACATGAGCAGGCCCCGAATGTTCGCTGAGTGCCACGACGGCTTTCCAGTGCGAAAGTAGCTTAAAACTTAAAACGATAAGGGAAGTTTCGCCAACCTCCTGGTTGCGGGGTTCGCCACGATCAGGCCGCAAGTAGCATCCAGCTCCCTGCTTGGAGTGATGGTTATGTCGACAAGTCGGGCAGCTCGAGATGCAATTGCTTGGGTTCTCAACATGGACGGAGGAAGCTTGCCGTTCTGGCCCTTGAGCCGTAAACACAAACTTGGAACTGAAGCAGGCTGAAAAGGCTACTTGCGGTCTGGGAATCGTGGATGCAGTGGGAGCTTTGTTATCGCTGCCGCGTCCGTTATGCGTTGCAGCTAAAATGCCTGCGTGCAGCAGTTTGAGAATTGTCACCGGCACACATCCCGGAATGCGAAACCCACGCAGCCTCAAAGCCTAAAGGTCTAAAGCAACTCGTACACATAAATGCAATAAGATAGACAGACAAATAATTGGGTAAATGCACACATAGATACATAGTTACGTAAACAGACAAATCCAAAAGTAGATAAACGGATCACCAAATCAAGAAAGGAAAAACTACATGCTGACACTCACATACGTACGCCCACACATACGTACATACATAAATACATGCATATACAATCACGTGGTTTTGCAGGCATCTGGGCAGCAATCCACACAGCCCAACTGTGCTCTTGTCACGGTTCACTTTCACATTGACGGCAAAGCTGCCAAAGCTCACCAGCAGGCCTGGAGGACAGGACAACAACAGTGATGGCAGCAATGCTGCAACAGGCCGTGGAGCCTCCAGACGATGTACATTCACGGACCCCAGCTCGAAACCGTCGGCAGATTCCAAGGCGTTTGCCAGAGTCATCTAAGTTCCATTGGTTCAATTCAGGAAGCCCCCAAAGAAAGGGCTGCATAGCAGGGTCCTCATTCTGATCCCTAGTTTACCACGAGCCTCCGCCATCTTCCAGGAGTCAAAGGAAGCGGGCGCCATAGCACGGCGCGAGCGGGAACGTCGGAGACGGCGGGTCCTGGTTGAGCAACAACGCGAGCAGGTTCGCCGATATGTGCTGTTGTCACTTGTGGTCCAACTTGCGTACCTGACAAAGGAATAAGTTTTGCTGTGCAGTCTCAGTAAAGACTTGTTATTCCTGCACGTGCATCGCCCACTCGCTGTCCATTGCCATTTTCGTAGTATACGGTCATGCTTCACAAGGCTCTCCATCCCCAGTGCGAAATCTGAGCTTCAGTTCAGAGTTTCAGGTTGGCTTTCAGTCGACTGCAAGAACTTTCATCTATTGGGCTGTACTTTTGTTGGAAAGCTCTACATGCGAAATCTTAGCATTCCACTTATGTGGACCCACGTTTACGACCCCAAAACCTGATAGAAAGCCCCGAACATGTCAGAGTGCTCAGCCCTTCGAATCTACCAACTTCCTCGTCTGCGCAAGCCCTAACTTCAGGTTCCCACGCGCCGTCCATCTACATGATATCATGCAACCTTCGGAGAAATACCAGACACATCACGAGCCAGTTCGCAAGAATAACTCCGCACGGGCTGAGCGGTAAGCCTCATCTTCACCTTAGGCCCTACACTTGAGAGCACCCCGATCAACCCGAAACTATCACAGGAAATGCTCGAGGAGAACCAGCTCGAGCAGGCTCCTTTTCTGTACCAGGTTCAGTCAGGGTTTTGCGGCTGGGTCCAAAGAGGTCAGGATGTGTTCGAGAGGGGCTTTGAGAAACCTGCTGTCATCGCTGCGCAGAGCCCTGAACTCAAACATCCAAACCTTATTGCTGAAGTCCCGAACCCTCTAAGCGCATCGCTGTCGAAAGGCTTAGGAGCTGGTCTACAGATGTGCAAGTGTCAAGAAGGGAAACTTCACGTTTTCCTCAAAACTCTGTGATCCGTGTCTGTGTCCAGACATGTTCGAGGGGTGTTCACTCCAAAGGTGCGAAGAGGGTGTCTTTAGCACCTACTCTCTTGGATCTCTAGGGTTTAATTGGGGTTTAGGGTTTAGAGTGTGGGGGTTGAGACTTAGTTAGGGGTTTGGCCATCTGCCCATGAGCCGCGGTGAATCGTCGTCAGCGGTGCCGGTCTTCACGGCAGTAGTCCTGTTCCCGGAATAGTTGGCATCTACAGCTCCGACCAGTAACCATGTCAGCCAATCCCGGGAAACTAAACTTGAAGGGGTTCCTTATGTCCAACACCATGTCTAAGCGTACACGCCCTAAACCGGCCAGACTAAACATCCAAAAGCCATGAGTACTATTATCCCTTGTCTTCAGGTTTAGTGTGGACGTTGAGAAGTGTGGGCTGTAGCGCCTAGCGAGTTTGCTTCGTGTTGGTTGTTATTTACGTTCTGATGGTTGGTTCTCCCCTCATGTTCTCTATCCTCAGCTAACAGCCTCCTCCTACTAAGAGTTCTTCAAGCGGTACGTCTGCGACTAGGAAAGGGCTCCCAACATTGCCAGAAATCCTAACCTCCCTAAGCTTGTATAAATTTTAAACCTTAAACCTGAAACGCAAATCCCTGTACCCGCAACCCCCGAGTGCCCTAAACATCCAGAAGGTGTTGCTCGAGAAGCTAGGACGACAGTCCGTCGAGGCCACCGGATATAACGGCACAGGGCGCAAGCACCGGGTTTTGGGTTTTAGGGTCTGCGGCTTTGGAAGTATGATTTCAGTTTCTCATGTCTGCGTGTGTCTTATCTTTCTCAGTGCAGCAGGTTCAGGGAGTACAGAATGGAAGACGAATAAGTCCTGCATCGTCCATAGCTAGTTTTGATGGCGTTGACTCAAGGCTCGTATGTCAGGACACGGGTTCAAGGGTTTGCGTCTTCAGACTGCGCAGGTCGGTGGGATGACGAGGGCGCCCAAAACTCTTTGTGTTTCTGTCAGGAGAGTGCGATCAGCTATAGGAGCTGGCGGGCCAAGACCTTCGAGGAGGTTGTTGTGAGGCCAGCCCGGGCTCTTCGGTTTGTTCGTGACATGCTGGAAGGCAATCGCCCCACCGCAAAAAGTCGCAGCAGTAGCAGCGGCAGCAGCAATATAGCAAGCAGAAGCAGCCGAAGCAGAAGAATAAGTACGAGGAGGAGGAGGAGAAGGAGGAGGCGGAGGAAGGAGGAGGCGGAGGAAGACCAATCGCGGCAGCGGCAGCATGAGATCAGCATCGGCAGGGACGGGAGTAGTGCTGTGGTTTGGGTAGTCATGGTAGTCCTCCTCTCCATGACTGACCAATACTGACTACGAGAACCAACAATGAATATATCAATCGTATCATAATTGGCAGCAGCGTCAACCATTATTTCGATTTCGCCATTGGCAGCAGATCGAGGCTCGTCGCACTTGCAGAAGTTGTGCTGCGCAAAATCTTGTTCCAGACGACGGCAGTATTCTACCATAAACAGTAAGTGTTGGGCATGTGCTTCGGAAGGAACCAAAGGGTCCTGTCAATCGTGATTGTCTTATTCGCGTGCTTGTGAGGAACAGCCATAATTAGTTAGTCACTGTCAGGAACTAGTTGCAACAATCGTACCAAGACCCGGCGGCCACGCGGAGGAATCGACAGGCGCGCCAGCAGCAGTACTCTGCACAGAAGAAAGCAGACAAGGAGGAGGTGCCCCGGATGTTTTGACAGAGAGGTTGTGGAACATGGCTTTGCCCCAAACATATCCCAAAACCCTGACCCTTAAGTTTTCCTGAACCTTCGACCCCAGTCTGTTTGGGATGAGACTGTGCCCGCTGAACCATGAGAGAGTTTCGCCAACACACGGACTGCCCTTTTGAAAGAACAAAGACATAGGGCCTTCGACGTGTCTGCGTTCCGAGCTTTTGCTTGTGTGATTCATGGCTCGACAAAGCTAGAGTTGATTTTGCCTGTTGCTGCTAAGACTGCTCAAGTCAAGTCTTTGGGAGCTGCAGGGCGGGAGGCTTGCGTCCTTGCAATCCCTGTTTCCAGTCAAGACCTACTGCAAAGGCAAAAATCTTGGGAATCAAAGCAAGCAGTGCCGATGCAGAATCCTTGTGCCATGCCCTGAAACACAAGTCCAAATTGGAGCCAAGCCCTGGGATCATGTCAAACTGTTGGCTTTTTATCTCCCGAAGCCCCATCAACGTGTAAAGCTTAAATCATGACTGCACATAGAAAAATCACAGTCAAGTGCAGGCCCTCCGCCGCGACCAGGAGCACCCGCCGCTCCGGGTCAGGGTTTAGCCACGCCCCGGAACAACCCGCACGGAAGGACATGCGGTCATCCTTTTGTAGCAACCTGTGCAACCAGCAAGCTGAACGTCCTCGAGTCAACATCTATCTTGTTTGGAGGACTCGCAAGCATTCAAGATCTCTTCACGGGGCTTCCACCTACCGATGCTGTTCGAATTTGGAGATCGCACTACCTGAAAGAGAGAGGTAACAGGAGCAAGTCCAGGTGCCACTGCTCCCGCCACCACCACAACCACAACCACAACCTCACCACTACCGCTACCACGACCACGACCACTACCCTGCTTCTGCAACAACAACAACAACAACTACTACTACTACTACTACTACTGCCACCACTACCACTAGTTCTACTGCTGCTTCCACTGCTATCACTAGTGCTACTCCTATTGCTCCTGCTGTTCCTGCCCCTGCTCCTACTTCTAGTACTACGACTGTGACGACGGCGGCGAGGACGACGACGACTACTAGTGCGACTACTGATGCTACGAACTTCTTGCTGCGGCAGCAGCTGCCGCTGCCTACGACGACGACCACAACGATGGCCACGACGACTGTCGACCATGGCTGTTGAGGGAATGTTTTCAAGTAGCAAGTGAATCAGGACCTGCGAGACGAGATGATTGAGACCATGCGAGAGCAGGAGGAGCCCCCGCCGGAAGAGCATGTATTGCCATTTTGCAGCAGCTGTACCGTCGCTGGCGTTATCTAGCAATTTCCGGTATGACTTCTGCCTAGCTGGAACCCTATCGCGATGTGCCAATTAGAGAGACACAGCGCACACCGCAAGCTGACGGCAAAGCATGCGAGGCTATCAAACTTAAAATGTTGTTCGGATAACTTCCATCTAAATTGCCTTCTACACACGTGCGTGCACTCGGAGATTCAGCTTTGAAAGCTGGATGCAGAAATCCATCGAGGTGACTGACACATGGTGCTCGCGTGTCCGGCCTTCTTGTTGGTGAAGAGCTGCGTCTGGAACCATTGGGTTAGCATGCATGACAACCGGGTTCGTCGTCTTGCGTGCCGGTGATAAGCTGAGGTTTATATGCCTCACGCAAGCCCACGACATCTTAAGCCTCCCAATACTCCGAAGCACTATCGGAGCTTCATGTAGGACAGCGAACACACACTTCTTGAAGCCATGGCCTGCAACCTCGAATGTGTTGCCCACATCCTGAATCCAACACGACGGATAGCATTGAGCCAAACCCTAAGTATCGAGCAGAAGCCAATGCACCAGTAAGCCTTTTGCTTCCTTCCTTTATCCCATCTACAGATTAATGCAAGTCATCGCGTCCAATTGGCACACGTGAACTTCAAGCCCCCTTCCTGCAAGCGTGCCTTCACCAGGAGCTTGAGCTGCTCAGGTACCGAGCAATTGAGCAAGGGGCCTGACGGGGCAGGAGAGTTCAAGGCATCAAGTTACAGGGCTTGTTGATTGCCTTAGCAGGTGTTTGCGAGGCCACACGTAGGGCCCGCTAACGGATGAACTGAAGACCAGAGGCTTCTGAGATCGAATCGTCCCCTTCAGGCCGTGCTTGATCACGACAATGGCCGTCTTTCTAGCTCTTCTGTTAGCACACGAGGCATTTGTCGTTGCAGGTATGAAGCCACTGCTGGCAAATCACACACAGCCTAACAGTCTGCTGCTGCAGTGTACTTTTGCTTTTTCGTGGCTCAACGTGATGATGTCCCTTTCGATGCTTGTCTGGGTGTCTCTGGGCTATGCTTTGGCCAAGCAGCTTCGCAGTGGAGTGATTCTGCGAGGAAGGAGGCCTTTTGGGGCCTTTCTGGGGGCTGATGCGGGCTGATGCGGTTCTTCAATTCTTCCAAAGCCCGCCGCTTGTTGGCTGGAACACCATGTGGAACGTTGTGACGCGCTGCAGCCAGAGGACACTGTGGAGCAAGATAGAGGTTTGTTGCCGCCAAGCTGGCTTCATCGTCGGCCCGGTCTGCTATGCAGCTCTCGCCTTTGTTGTTCGCCACAACCGTGACGTGTCTCCAATCAGCATGATGGGCTGGTCCTTCGTCGGACTCACACTTTTTCAAGCTGCAGCTGCTTCTCTTTGCCTGCCGACGGTGGTCGATCCTTCTGCGAAAGAGGAAGAAGCCGAGGATGTGCCCGCTGCGCGCACAAATATGCAAGAGGTGGAGCTTAACCCAGAGGAACTGCCTCCAGAAACACGGCGACGACGGCAAATTGTTTGGAATACTTTTGTCTACTGCTCTGAGCGAACCTTCACTGTGGGTGCCATTGAGGTATCTACAATGATGCTTCTGGAAGTGGAGTATGGATGGCAGACGGAGTTATGCGGCGCTTCTTTCATGGCGGTAGGTGGTTCCAGTATCGTCGCGACGAAAACCTTCTGGACTCGCGAGGATAAGCTCTTCATGGTTTTATTTTACAGAAGGCAGGCCGTTTGGGATCGCGATCTTTGGGATGGCCGTGCTTCACCCGAGATGGAGCGTTTGCTTCCCACCAAACTTCGTACACTAAGTGGCTACCATTGGCTACCCACAGGCCAAGGATGGGCCAAACACGTTTGGCGTCTAAACCGTTTAAACCTTAACATGTTTATACATATTTCGAAGATCTGACCTTAAAGCCAGCGTGGTGGTGGCGAGGAGATGGGCAAGCCTTTCTTGGCTCTGGTTAGCCTCCATATTCGTTTTCCTTTTTTGGCATCTTTCTATTGTTCGATTAGAAGTTCTTTGGGGCCTTCGGAGCTGTTGGCCGAGACCTTGGTCTACGCCTCCCTGAGCGTCTCCAACGGCATCGCTCAGGGCTTTGCCACCAGCGCGGTCATGAAGGGCACCAGCTTCGACATCCAGAGCTACCGTCTGCAGAGTTTGGCATCAATCCAGACTAGCAGGTTCGTAGTTCTGATTTTCACCCGCTTCATCTTGGACTTCAGCTGCCGGAATCTGTATGCCCTGGTTCAGTCTGCGCCTTATGTGCGTGCACCGTCTGGCGCACAGTCGGCCTCGTATCGCGAGGCCACAGGCGGGAAGGAGATGTCAATATCCAGGACGAGAGCAAACGTGTAGCAGAGTGAGTGCGATCAGCCGAAATGTTTTAAGCTCTCAAACCTTTTTTAGTGAAGACAGGTTGCCGGCGCGCAGGTTGTTTCAACGGAAGCATTCCGAGCCAACGTGGAGAGTAGACTGATTGCAATTTGCTGCCGGCGACAAGTTTCAATGCTCGGACTCCACCACAGCGCGACCTCTGCTTTTAAGTTCTCCCGAGCGCCTCGGATCTGCTGCCGAACATTTTTCGGTGGCAGATCCGAAGCGCTCGGGAGAAAGGCCGCCACCGCTGAGGCCTCGCAGCCGAAACAGTCCAAGCCCCGAAGTCTCCCACAGATGCCACGACCACACTCCGGGCCGGGCCCCGGCCGGGCCTCGTATCAAAGATCGATGTATTTCTGACGCATCGGCAGCTCATCGAAGGTGGCCCGGAGCTTTTCCTTCTCCTCCTCGCCTAGGGCGTGGCTTGTGTAGCAAGGTCCAAGATGCTTTGACAAAGCCCCGAGGCCCGGGCAGAGCTTGGTGAGCTCCCGGAGGCTCTCCACCTGCGGTGGCGCCGGCATCGCCTCGGAAGCCCCCACTTCCGGTAGAATCTGCGGTTAAGACGCTTTCGACATTTACAGACTGTTGATGAAGCCCACCTTGATGACTCTTTTGGCAAACACGGGACTCGGCATCCCTTGAGATGCCTTGTGCTCCAACACCTGTAACAAGCCCTATAACCGTCCTGTAACCATCATCCTCGATGCAAAAGGCCGGGTGCGCTGAGAATGCTGACCAGGCAGACAAAGATGCCAGAAGACACATCCAGCGGCCGTAACTTGCGGCAAGACTCGAAAGCCCAGGCGCGGTCGCCATGCCAAGCGCCGCGAGAAACTGCGAGAGGCTTGGGGTTTTGGTTCCCACCAAATCTGTGCCTGGGACCTGGGATGGGCGGCTCTGGGGACCCAGTAGTTGAGACGATGGCCAGATTAGATACTCAGCCCTGCTTTTGAAAAGGAGATGGAGGGAATCCTGGACCTAATCATGCACATGGCCTTCGCAGACATGGAGCAGGACCTCGCTCGGATGTCCTCTGTAAAACTGCTGTCGAGTGACTAAGCTAAGTTGCCATTCCTGCGTTTTGTGTGTTGATGCATGTGTTTGTCCAAGCCGTCGGCAGGTACCCACACTTGAATGTGCATGTTTGAAAGGAGCAGTTGACGGACAAGGAAGAGGCAGGCAAATTCCACAGATCTGAGCAGGGGTGTCATGCAATGCAATCGTCCTGGCCAGCAGTATATTGCCACTGTCATCGCAATAACAATCGTCGTGATTATGATTGTTTTTTTCTTATGCTCGGTTCAGGCCCCTGTACTTGGCAGCAGGCGTCGTTGTCGAGTCGTCGTCGTTATACTGGTGTGGAAGGCCATGTCGCCTTGAAATCAGGACTCGCCTTGTATGTCACCCTCATGGCAGAAACGAGGTGACGTCTGATGCGCAGCCCGAAGCCACAGTAGATTGCTCAGTAGATTCATCGGCGTTATCCCTGCATGCTTCCCTTCGCACGCATGTTGCCAAAGGGCCCTCTAAATCCGGGGGCCCGAACGATTCATCCGAAAAGCAGCCCTGAAGCCTTCAAGCCCTGAAGATTTTGGACTCTGAAACCAAGCTGGTCCACCGCCGCGAAAGAGGTCGATCCCACTCTTTGGCGCGAGTGGGTCTCGCTCTTCCAGGAGAACCTGCCTGCCTGGTGCCTGGGTGTCTGCAAAGTGTCCCCCTGGACCCGAGCTGGCAGCTAGATGCAGCTAGACCCTAATTCAAGTAGACTCAGGCTAGAACGCCAAGTTCCGTCAAAGGTGTCTTTTGCTCCGAGGTTCGGCTGGTGCCCAGCTTGGAGGACTGCGCGGAGGAGCCGTCGGGGCCCCTGAAAGATCTGATAGTGACCGGCGTTGCCATTGCTGCGACCGCGATCACCAACTGCTGGTACTTAGCACTCAGCTCGTACTTTTGCAACTACTGCGGCTGCTCCTGGTACCGCCACCACTACTATCACCACCAACGTCGCTCTGCTGATCCTGACTTCTACTTCGTCTCTTCTTCTACCACTACCACTACCACTACCACTACCACTACCACTCCCACTCCCACTCCCACTCCCACTCCCACTCCCACTGCCACTGCCACTGCCACTGCGACTGCTACTGCGACTGCGACTGCGACTGCGACTGCGACTGCGACTGCGACTGCGACTGCTACTGCTACTGCTACTGCTACTGCTACTGCTACTACTGCTACTGCTACTGCTACTGCTACCGACGCCGGCGACGACGA